TATATATATATATAACAAAGAAAAAAAAAAAACAAAAGAAAACTTTATATGTGATTTCTAAAACGCAATGCAGACGGCTTATGCATAGCTACTGACACTAAACCCAACAAAAACAACAACAATAACTACAAATACCAGCAACAACAACAATAACAACTAAACCAACAACAATATCCGATCAATAACAACAACAACAGCAAACATAATAGCCAACAACAACAACAACAACAGCAAACAAACAAAATAGCAAACACAAAATTAAAAAACTACAAAAATCAAAATCAAAATTAATTTTTTTTTTCTAATTTCTAAACATGTTTCATTTCAATATTATTTTCAAAAAAGAAAAACCCTTACAAAAATTAAGAAATATAAAACAAACGGAAATCAATAAACAAAGCTGCCTTCACATTTACAAATTAAATAAATTGATAAGAGGAACGAGAAATTGTTAGCTAAAGCAAAAAAGAAAAAACAAAAAAATATATAAAAAGAGGAAGCACACAAAATAATAATAATAATACAAGAAACTTACGCAAAAACAAAATTCACAACAACAAAAACCACCAACAACAACAGCAACAAAAGACAGCCCATAAAATGTAAAAAAAAAAAAGATTTTAAGTTGATATAAAAAAAAATTTAAACAAAATTAAAACACATATAGATAACAAAATTATGATATATGAAAACAAAATTTTGATGTTTCGATGTTAAAAAAAAAATATTATAATAAATTTAACTAAATGTTTTAGGCCGTAAATTTATAAAAACAAAAACAAATTCCCATTCGATAAAATGTCTTGAAGTAATTTCCATACAACCATATATGTAAGTATATATGTATATATATATGTATATTTCTGTATGTGTGTGTCTTGATCCATTACGCGTATACCTCAATAACGAAACACACAAGATCATTTTGAGCAACTCTATATAAAATGTACTTATACACTCTACACACTCTTTACACAATATATAAAAACAAAGAAAAAAAATGAAAAAAAAAAAACAAAAACAAAAATTGAGGAATGTCTACTAAATACATATTTACACTTCAAAAAAGAAGAATAAGACAACTTTTTTGGTCAAAACACGCTCCCTACCTATCCCTCCCCCATTTGAGAGCTCTCTTGTTTCGAAAATTCTAGATGGGTTTTACTTAAATGTATGCGTAAATAAAAAGCAAAATCTCTATATATATATATATGTACCTAAACGAAGAAAAAACAAACATATTTTGTGTGCTAGCTAGTAAGTGTCAAAAAGAAGAAAATAAATAAATAAAAAAAAATTAAAATTAAAAAAAATATTAATAACAAAAATTATATATACAACAAACACATGTATTTTTAAAGTTAAACGAAAACCAATATCAAAATTCTATTCAGCTGAAAAAAAAAATATTTAAATAAAACCAAAATTATTTATAATTTAAAGCATATTTATTGGCTAATCCTTAAAAATAAATTCGATGTGCATAAATGTTGTGGCTAGAAAAAAATACAAAATATATAATTCCAAAATTTCTATTGAGGCAAAAAAAGAAAGAAAAAAAAATATATTTATAAAAAAGCATATTTCGTATATTTAAAATATGAAGAGAAAAAAAAATGTAGTAAATTATTTGCATCACAAGAAATTGTTTAAAAGCAAACAAAAAATCAAATCGTATTTATTGCTAATTTAATTATATTTGAAGTATACATACATATTTATTATACATACATATATACACACATATATATGTATATAAATATATATATATAGACACACTATCTGTGATTAATAATCCAAAATTTTGAAGAAACTTTTTCTGACTAATGTTGGTTAGGCAAACAATGCATAAAAAAGTAAATAATTATTATAATAATATACAAAACAGATTACACACACACATACACACATATATAGAGAAAGCTATAAACTAATTGAACGATCGGATACAAATAATAACAACAAGAACAACAATAACAACAACAGCAATAACTACACAGATCAACAACTATAGAAAGCGAATTCTTGGTAGGCATATGGAGTATGCATGTCAAGCTATATACGATATAGGCCAAGATACCAGTAAACAATAGCAAAGGCAACAACTACAGCACATCACTAACAAAACAACAACAAAAATCATACAACAGTTCAGAGCAAATATAGTTGTACATATATTTTGGAAAATTTTTTACGCAAAACTAAAGAAAAAATGCAGTCTAAAAAAAACAAAATCAAAATGCAATGTAAACATTTTATAAAACAAAATTATACAAAGTAAAAACTAAAAAAAAAAAAATCAAATATTTTGTTTAAGACAAACAAACAAAAAATGCTAGAGAAAAGTAATGAAATCAAACTAAATCATAAAGAAATATAAAAAAATTTAAATTAAAATAAAATAAAGTGCAATTATACGGTTTATATGTATTAAGAAGCAAAAACAAAAAATTAAATTAAATTGTAAAAACAAAATCAGATTTGAGAAGTTTATGAAAAATGCATTTTGCTGCCTACTTCAAGGCGCGAGAAACCAGAATTGAATAAAGAAATACGAAATACAAAAACGTAAATGTAAATGAAACAAACGCAAACATATACATATACACACATATACACACAGACAGGTAAATGGGCATAGGAGTATAGTGAAAAGTAGAAGAAGATGAAAAAACAAGAGAAAAGCAAAGCAAGCCGTATGTAACTGAAATATGAAACCTTTTCCACTTGTTAGAAGAGAAAGGTTTTCGTCGCGTGAAGGAATAGGAATATAACAGCTTGAGAATGTTGAGAATTGTATAGAATTTTTGCATTTTCCAACCTGCCACGCCCCTTCAAAAACTAAAATAACAGGAGGATTCAAAACCGTCTCTTGGGTAGGTGGGTTGGGCGTGCAAAAACGCTCAGGTACGTGTTTTTATTTTTCGGAGAGAAAAAAGATTGATTACCCATACATTACTTATTCTTTGTTTACAACAAATTCATAGTTAATAATTGTATAAAAAAAAATAATAACAAACAGAAGATAATGGAAAAAAAAATTAAATCGATATACTTATTAATAATTATGAGTCTTAAATCTATATAAATA